ACTCGACTGGTGCATCAAAATTGTAAAATTTCGTATTTAACATTAAGTCTTGAGTAATCTGTCGATACGTGAAATGTGGTAATAAAACACCATTGTTCCCCTTATTATGCGAATAGATTGCTCGTTAAGTTAGTTTAAAAAACTGTCATTTATGTCTCATAAAAATGAATTGAATATTTCTAGTGACAAATTTTGGGAGTGCAAAGGGTTAATAGAACAGAAGATAACGTGTAGATCTCTTGCTGTTCGACTAATTAGATCATTTTACGACTCAGTCTTCCAAACCTGAACGTTTCATCTCGAAATGCCGACATCCGTCCGCAAAGAATTAATAGTAGAGAACGTTATTGTTGATTATTGAATTGATTATTGGAGACTTGTTCGGGAAGAGTTCGAGAGAGTTCCAAGATGGCGGATTTAGTCCATCGCGTGATTGGAAAATGGGAGACTAGTCTGAAAACGTACTTTCATTCGATGTAACAATAAGATATAGAATCTAAGGGAATGATCTGTAAACTATTCGAATCCGAGCAACGAAGTTTTTGAGGTTAGGAACTGAAAATCCATCTCGAATGCTGCGGGAGGTAATGTACATGTGGCCAAGATTTGCAGGAATGTTTACAGGCGAAGAGGAGGCTCTGAATAATTCATAATGCGAGCGGTGAATATCATTCCTTCTAATTCATCGAAAATACTACGGCAGCCCTGGTCGACTTTTATTTACTCGTCGATTGCGAGACACCGACCGTGGACGATAGAACCGCTTCGTACCGCCATGTATATACGTATATACGAGGTTTCATTTGTATTCGGCCGAGGGAAATGGCGCGGACTTTGATGTTTCTTCTTGCTGACGCGTCTCGAAACCTTTTCTGCGCCTCCCTTCGCCGTCCCCCTTCAGCGAGACTGATCTGAATGCATCCTACGTATTTGCCAGGCCAACCCCCTTCGGCGCCCTCCGACACACCGGGAACACTCGGCGACAGCCACGGTCACCCCTTGACAAGCGTTTCCTCCCTCCGCGGGTAAAAAAGTCGCGCTCCGGACGGACCCGACCGAGGAGCCGGCGGGGGAACTTTTTGAAACACGTGGAAAATGTAACTTTTTCCGACCCTTCGGTTCATTTGTCTCTTGTCAACAGGTTCGCGGCTCGCACCAATACCGCACCGCAACGAAACTTAACCCTTTGTGAGAGGTGACTTTCGATTATCATTTGATTTGGTGTACAATTGCAAAGTGTTGTATGTAATATTGAGTTTTGTGTAATGCATCAATATGTGAGATATTTAGATAAATTGGAAACTAAATCAATTTCTCTAGTAATTCCGCATTGAAGTTATCTTTTTAATAAATAGGAAAGAACGTAGGAACGTGTCAATTCGACCTGGTAGTTTTAGTGTTAGGAAACAAAGCTAACTTCAGTGCAGAATTACTGGAGAAATTGATTTAGTTTCCGTGAACTTAATGTTAATATCCCGCATCAACACTAGAACTACCGAGCATCTAATACGATTCATACGCAACTCCTCTAAAAATTGTAACAATAGATTATTTTCAATTTCTTCAGGCATTCTTATAGTATTCAAATGAAACTATTCATTTTCAATCATTTCGAATGCTCAATGCTTCGAAGATATCAATAATTGCTAAACAAAAAAATCGAAATCATTTTGACTGGTAGTTCTAGTGTTAAATGTGCAATTTCCAGTTGATAAGATTCTAATGAAATAGAATATTCTACCTCTTCAACGTTTTTCAAAGTACTTCGCTGTTTTCCAGTAAATTCTTTCTTCCACCATTCATTCTAACTTAGTTGTGCATTCTTTGCAATCAACAAGGATACTGTTGACTGGACGCGAATAAATATCGACGTGACGCTCGCAAAGGGGCGCATGTAAACGAAGTTCCCACGTAGTCGCGAGACAACGGCCGTAACACGCGGAAAAGGAAAATAGCGGCAATACCGTTGAGTGGCTGGAATGGTGGCCCGGGGGAGCGACGCAACCGGGAATAAGGATTTGCTCCAGGGGGAAACGCTCGTGCGAGTGGCACATGCGGGAATGCATATTCAGGGATCAGGGAGCGCAGGTGCGGCCATTCCTGGCGCATGCAGGGCTCCTGAGGGAAGACTTCATTGAAAGCTCAACTCAATCTCAAGGATCTGCGCCAGAATCTTCCAAAATATTAAAACAAGCTTGACAAATTCATTTACGTAGGAATATGTATTAACTCTTAGTACAAAACTGTACAGTTGAATATTTAGTATTTTAAATTAGACTTTGTACTGCTATGTGAAATATTTGAATAAAATAGCTTTGTTGCTTACTTTAATTGTGACTTATTGTTACATTAGTTTCAAATCATGTCGACTGTATCTCGTTGGAAAATGTTGCATATTTCCTGTGCAAAAACTTTCGAGTAAGGGTTAACCCTTAGCCCTCCAGATGGTTTTGCAATTTATCAGCAGGTACAACTAATTTTTATGGTATCTGTAGTAAAAATGAAAAATGCTTATTTTCCTTCTTAATAGAAAATTTGAATGTGTGGAAAATCGAATAATTTTAGGGTAGTATCTTTGATTAAAATATTTGATATTAGAACGGGTGCAATATTGGAGCCTACAGAGTTCAAAGGGTTAAACTTGAACCTTTAACTTCTTGAATTTGAATCGAGTTGCAAGGAACAAGAATCTACCAATGATCGAACAGGGCTATGATAAAGGAACCAACCTTCTGTTCGTCGACTGTACTTCTCAATTTTAATAGATATAATGATGGTCGATGGTTCTGTATATTTCAAAGAATCTTCGTCCGCAAAGGATGAAACCCATTTTCACCTAATCTTCATTAAACCATTAATTTCAACAAAAATGATAACATTTCCGAATTCCTCCAATATCAATCTTGCACATTATCCAAATTCCAGTGACTCGATCCTCTCTAAACACAGAAAACCCAATTTTCTCAGAGATACATAGAAGAAAGCAAATGTCGAATCAATCAATCGAATCAATCCCCATCGAGAATCCCAATATTTTACGTTCGTTCGATTGCCATCATTAAGAGATACAGTTAAAAGCAAGTGTGACAAATGAAATGAAAAACTAATATATATAACTAATGTATATAATACTCGAATGCAAAGGGTTAACACATTGCGTGCTAATTTTCAGAAAACTGAATTGTGATGGAAACTTTCACTGGGGTCAACTTATATATACATAGAAAAACTCAGATATATTGTTCTGTAATATATTTTAAATAGATAATCAATTCGAATTAAATTTCATATTTTTTCAATACTGTGGTGATTAGCGAAGTTGCATAGCTAAGTGTCTTTACATAAAAACGAAAATTTCTCGTTACTTAGAAAACTGAATTGTGATGGAAATTTTCGCTGAGGTCAACTTACATCACTATACATAGAAAAACTCAGGTATCATATTGTTATGTAATATATTTTAAACAGACAAGGGTTTGATAGAGGTTTAAAATAATGTTCGAGTGTCACGTGATCGAGCAACGTGATTTCCATCATCGGTTCCCGCGGCACAGAATATTCTCTCGATATTCTCGTGGACAAGGGTGCCGGAATGGTCGCGACACGCTGCTGAGGCTCGAGAGGCACCATGGTTCGCCCCCCTTCCGAGATCAATAATACCATCCCTTCCTCGGAGCATGCGCGGCCGCCGACGACCCCCCGTAAGCGGGCTGGTTTCCACCCCCGACGTGGCTACGCGCTCCTCTCGCACCCCTCCATGCAACATTCATAGCGCCATCAATATTATACGCGCGAAATAATAACCTGTGCATTTATTACGAGGACGGGAGGGTGGACACCCCCTCGCGCGACGCTCGAGAGGATTGTAAAAAAACAGAGGCGGCAACAGCCATCGCTACGGGGGTGATAAATTATGCGTGTAAACGGTTATGCAAATCGATTGGCCCGGAACACGGTTGTTGGCGATTGATTGATCGCACGGTGAATTGGTAACACTGCCGTACAATGACGAGTGAGACTCGCGATGAAGATTTCTAAACCAATTTAATAATTAATGTTGTTCATTACCTATGGACCAAAACAAACAACTATTTTACTATTATCGATTTATTATCTTCAAACGAAATTTCCACTTCAAGTAGAATGGAAAATTTTGCATTTCTTCCAAATTGTTGGTAGCAAAATGTTACACGAGCTTAGCGGAAGTAAATAGTACGCCAAGGGGTTAACCCTTGGCACTCGAAAATTTCTCACTTGAAATGCTCGATACTTTGTAACTAGATGTAGACGAGATTCTTTCAAATGAATTTATTAAGGAATCACGTATGAATTAGGGAACTAAATTTTCTTTCAATATTTCACGTTTGATGCAGTATACAAAGGTTAACCTTTTGCACTCGAGGTGACTCTCAGTCACCATTTAATTCGATATAACAAAATTACAAAGTGTTATATATAGTATTAAGTTTCGTATAATGCATCAATATGTGAAATATTTCTATAAAATAGCGTTGTTTCTTAATTTACATATGTTGTCTCATTAGTTCGTTTCAAATAATGTCATCTACATCTCATAGGAAAGCGTCGAATGTTTCTAGTGAAAAGCTTCCGAGTGCAAAGGGTTAATGGTGAATAACAAAGTTTATAATTTTGCTGTAGAAATGAAGAATGTCTGGATTTATTCGATTGTTATTTTATTGTTGCGATATGGTTACGTGAATTCTGTAGTTCAGAAGCTGAAACAATTTTGTTGATTTCGCGTGAGGACGAAATAAAATTACATGTGGTTCAATGGTTTCTAATGAGAAGATGAGTTTAGGGATTGATGAATTTTAGAAGAATCAAGTTTTCTGTTGTAAAATGTTTATTTATTATATTGTTATTTTGATAGGTCAGGTTCTCCCGTTACATCGCGTGAAGTGCGTCGCGAGAATTCCGATTAACCCCTAAAGATTCGACACGTCAGCACGAAGACAAAAGGTTATAGAAATCTAGGACAAATCGAAAGGATTTACTGATTCGAAACGCATCGCAGCTAAATTTCCATTTGCGGCTGCCGACGATGTCGAAGCGATCTCCGAAGCGATGGCTCAGCAAAGAGACGAAGGAATATTTAATGAGGTAATGAGAAACTCTGCATCTCCCATAAAAAGAAAATTACAAAATCGTTAACTACGTAAAACCCAAAGAAAAAACTATCCAAAGTAAATCACTTCTCTAATCCACAATATTTCTAAAAAAATACTCATCCTTATAATCACCATCAAGACTACCAAAAGTTACAAAATACACCTAACAACTCGTCGAATCTCTGCAAACCCCAGAATTGATCTAGTCACAGCTGCAATCCTAATCTTAGATACTTGGTAGCATAACAAAAGTTTACCATGCACTATGCGTGTTAACCTTTGCACTCCAGAGGCGCCTAAGTCGCCAAATGATTTGACGCAGCGAAACAGTAAACTTTGATATTTAATATCGAACTTCGTACAATGCATCAATGTACGAAATATTGAAAGAAAACAGTTCTCTTCCTCGATGCATGTGAGATTTCATAATTCGATCTAAGAAAATGTCGTCCGTATCTCGTTAGAAGATATCGAATATCTCCGGTGAGAAGCTTGTGGAGTGCAAAGGGTTAACAGTACCCCGTGAACCCGTCCGCCGCGACGAAAGGGACCACGACTCACGTAGAACGTTACTACTTTGTTTCAAGCACGCACTTCTGGGGCCCGGCGATCAACTGGATGATACCAATAGCGACCATATCCGACACGCGAAAGCATCCGAGAATCATTAGCGGCAAAATGACGCTGGGTGAGTGTCCCGGGCCTTTCGGGGAATTCTGGCCGGCGTTCACATAATAATCGAGCGCCTCGCGACTCCGCAGCTGGAAAGGGACACGCCGGCAGGAACGGGGACAACCCGAGAAACCCGTGGAGCAAGGGGTCTTAGAGGAACAGGGGGAGGGCGGGGAGAAGGGGGCAGGAAAGGGCACGTGAAATAATTGCGGCGAATAACCGCTTGAACTCTTTTAACGAGCGGCACACCGGCGGAAACTGGTCCCCCGGACCAGCAATCTCCTCCCGGTAAAAATCGCGTCCGACCCCCTTCGGCCGCCATTTTAATGTCCGGCGTGTTAAGTGGATGCTCGTTTTGTCTCTGCGTTCAGCTAGACGGAGAGGATGTTTTCTATTGCGTCAGGTGCAGCGGAAAGTTCTTTTTAATGAGCCTCGGCTGGATAGATGCATTCGTTTCATTAACACTAAAACCACCAGACGCCTCGAAATGATCCGTTCCTGGTTTATTCTTTGTGTAATTACTACAAAGATAACCATTCCTTCGGGCAGTTATTAAGGAAATTGATTTGCGCCAGGCTGAACTGCGAATCGGTTGAAGTTTGAATAGATACAATCTTGGAGTTTCTACGGGGGAATTTTGAAATGTCAGTTTAACCGTTCGAGCGCTATAGCGATCTTGTGTTTGCCAAAATTGCGAGAGCGCGAGCCTCTGTTTGTCAATTAGAATTTTCTTACTATGTTCTTCGAGGAGTAAATCAAAGTATTTATTTGAACAAATGTTATTTTTTGATATTTGTAATAACAATATTTGTGACCTCGTTAGGAAGTACTCTTATTGACCCTTTGCACTCGAAAGGTGACTCTCGGTCGCCACTTGATTTGATACAGCAAAACTAGGAAGTTGAATATTTACTATTTTAACTCTGGGTTTACGGATATTTATTGTTCAGTTTATTCTGTGCGTCTTAACAAATTTTACGTTCGTTCATTTAGATTTTGGACGTTTAAAGATTAGATGATTAGAGTACACATTCGTGTTACTTAATGAAAATCGACAGAAACATTTACTAAATAATGTTTGTAAAATTCAATTCAATGTGTTATAATAATGGAGATTGCTTCGATGGTTAACACTAGGACATTTATTGTACAGTTTATTCTATTGTTCCTGGGGAAGTTGATATTCGTTCATTTAAATTTTGGAAATTGTAGATGTAGAAATGGATAATCAGGATTCATATTCGTGTAATTGGGTCAACGAAAACCGATTGAAATATTTATCAAATAATTTTTATAAAATTCAATCTGCGTCAAATTGACGCGTTCCGAATGGAACTTTGGTTTTACAGAAAGACTTATGTTATGTCTTTTGCATATAGTGTTTCTGATTTCCAGCGTTAGCGCTGTACTCCATGGTGTTCGTGAGGTTCGCGTGGAGAGTGCAGCCGAGGAGTTTGCTGCTGGTGGCTTGCCACTTCGTCAACAGCTGCGCGCAGCTTACGCAGGCCTACAGGTTCATCGATTACCATTATCTATCTCCGCAAGAGTCTGGAGAGTGACAAAGAACCCTATTCCAGAAAATATTCATATTCAAAAGACATTAACCCCGGCGATCGCCAACTTCTCATTGTTCAATAAAGCAAACGAAACTAAAAGCACACGCATTTTAAACGAGTCTCATCAAAGAACACTACACCATCTACAACAAACTCACTTCTTAACGAACGTAACATCAAAGAGACGAAGATAAGCCTGAAACAACCTGACAGGAAATGATCAAAAACACTTTCTCGCGACTGTTTCCCCAAAAACTCATTCGTTTCGTCGTTACTCTCCCCGGGAGCCACTAAATCAACCAGAAACGTTCGCGAGCTGTTTTTCCCGTTCTTTCATGAAAATGTAAAGCGATTCCACGCGAAGCCTCGGTCTCCCTGTGTTTTCGTCTCTCTCTCTGCAGTCGTTGCCTTCGCCCCCATGCTTGCAGGGAGCAAAAGGGCACTGGCTTATTCGTCGTGGCCCCAATTCGACGGACGAATGTATAAGGAGAGCAATAATTTTCTAGGTTGCCTGTCCTTCTTTCTTCCTTTTCCCGGCCGGTGCTCGAGGAGGGTCCACTCGATCGTGCCTGTGGGGTGATTTTATGGGATCTGGCACGGATCAGAGCCACGAGGAGCCTAACCTCTCTCTCTCTCTCTGTCCCCGATTTTTCCGAACGTGCGTAAGCGACGGTCCACTGTCCCGTCCTGGCTCTTTGCATTTCGGGAAGGGAATGAACCTAGCCCGCCCTCGCGCCGCTGAATAAATATATATGGGCTGATTAGCCCTGCTTGGCTTCGATCATGCGCTGCCTCCCTTTAGCCGGCGCTTTTGCATTCGGTGACGTCACCTGGATCGAGGAGAGGACACTTGGATGATCAAAGATTATCCGTTGTTCTCGGCGAACCGTTGGAATCAGGCTTCTTGAGGATTCTGTCTGATCGATGGATTATTGATTTGTTATTTATAGATTCTTTATTAATCGATTTAACCCTTTGCAGTCCGAAGTGCTCCTGGTTTCTCACTTTGAGGTTCACGTCGACGTTAGTTCAATTACAGAGTAGTACGACGCTCTATTTATTTATTCAAGAATATTTGGGAGTCTGAAATCTTACTTTTAAATGGTACAATTGTGATACTACAAATGAATACAGAAAAAATTCTTAAAACAGGTAGAGGTTGCAATAAAATAGAATGTCGAGTCTGACTCGACATAGGACTGCTAAGGGTTAAATCGATTATTAAAGAATCCACAAATAATAAATCAATATTCTATAGAGGAAAAAAGGGAGGATTAATGCTTAGCACTCCAGGTTGTTTTGTAATCTATCAGCAACTGGAACTAATTTTTATAGTATTAGCGAAAATGAGAAATGCTGTAACATTTCTTCGATCTTTTATTTTCCTTAGTACAAAATTCGGATGTGTGGATTCATTAAAATATTTAATATAACTGGTGCAATATTGGAGTCTGCAGAGTTCAAAGGGTTAATGCTTAGTTGCTAGCTAGAAATATTGTTTTATATAGAAAGCAACAAATCTTGCAGCAACTGTATACGTCTGAAAAAGGATCACCAAAAGTTCACTTCAAAAAGCGCAATCGAAGGATTTTAACTCCGAGAGACATTAAAGATCAAAAATCTACTCAAATACAATATAACAAATTAACAAGAAACCGTGTTATTCGAAGTTCAGATAAAACCACAGAGGAATTCTAGTTACAATTAATATAGTTAATATAATTATAAAATTATATTTAAATAAAATAGCTTTGTTGCTTAACTTATCTATGAATCTCTGATTCATTCTTATCTGAAATACTCAACTTCATAGTTTTGCTGTATCAAATCAAGTGGTGACTGAGGGTCACCTTTCGAGTGCGAAGGGTCAATAAGAGTACTTATCTAAATGTATCACAAATATTGTGTTATTACAAACAAAATATCAAGAAATATAATTTACTTTGATTTCGTAAAGTTACAATCAAGGTATCCTTGCCAATCATCCGACTGATCTTACCGAAGTCAACTGCTTCGAAGACAGCCCTCGCAATCTTCCTCGAAGTCAGCAATTCCGATCAAGACCACCGGTCTCTCCGGTGTCCCAGAAATTTTCGCGGAGAGCGACAAGCTCGCAGACGGAACGCTCGGAGAGGATCTGCCCGGTGCAAGGGAGATGAGTCCTTCGGGACTGATTTCACAAACAAATGCCGACGATTGAATCCTGGCATGTCGCAAGACGGATCGCTCTCTTTGAATCACAGATTGCCCGCCGTCTTTCCTTCCACCTCGTCCTGCCTCCCCCCGGCGCCCCTCCGTCCCGGTGCCCGCCGCCGGTGGAAACAGAGGGAGCAGGAGGAAGAGGAGCCCCTTTCGGGGGCCGGCAGCACCGCGGCAATTTGCCACATGCCCGCCGTGGCCTGCCTCCGCCGCCGCGAGGAGAAAGGACTCTCCCGGCGTCAACGACAGTCGAATCGGGCCGCGGATGCGCCGACGATCTATCGCGATCGACGATCGAACCGTTGACGTTCACGCATTAATCAGACACCGGTGAACACGCATCTTCGTTCCTCCTCGGGTTTCCTAGAATTTCGGCTCGTTTCCGCGCGATGCAAACGAGGACGGTTTTGAGCCCTTAATTGTGGTAAGATTAACCTTTGCACTCGGAAATCTTTCGTTAGAAGTATTTAATATTTTGTAATATTATTATTAAATATTAAAATATTATAATATTATAATATTTCCTCGGTTATGACATTTCGATCCAGTAAATCTTCTAAATAAAGTATCAGAAGGATGAAAGTGAAACGAGTCATTGAGTTCCTAAATATAATATCGCTGTTTCTCATTAAATATTATTATTAAATATCATATTAAATATTACTTATTATTACCAAATATCGAGAAACATTATAATATTGTAATAATATTATTTCGTCACCGGAATAACCGCTGGTAGCGAACGTTAAATCCAACGGCAGAATTAGTTCGATCGATGAACGAGCGATTAAGCGTGAAGCGTTAGAACGGAGGCGAAGTACAAAAATTAAAGAGTTTCCGCGATCGAACGCCGGGGGTTGCTTCGGCGGACGTGAAATGAACTGTAAAGCGGAATGCACAGACTGCCGAAGCTCGTCCCCGCAGAAATCCATGAACTCGCGAGAGCACGTTAGTTGAAAAAGGGACGAAACGGGGGTGGAAGGGACGCGAGGGTGGCCGGCCCCGACTTTTCGCCGGTCGATGATCTTTAAATTAAGTGCGCCGGCTTATGACGGCCGTGTAAAGTCGTTCCGGGTGGATTTTCACTGGAAACGGTGAGCGGCCCTCGACACGCGTGGCGAATGCGGAAACCGCCCTTGCGAGATGAATCAAGCGCACCCTCGCGGATACTGGACATACATTAGGCCGACACGACGGCCGGGTCGCGCGGAATGCTGACTATTCTCTCGTGGAACGAGAGAAATAGAAATGCGTAAGGGAGACGGAAAAATGGCGGATATTACGGAGAGCCACCCCTTCGTCGGGAATTATCGTTCTTGGAACTTTGCTTCTCGATATTCTGTTGGACTGTGTTCGTAGATTTGAGTTGATGTTGATTGCTGAATTCTTTGCATTGTAAATATTAACGCTAGAATTACCAAAATGACTGGTTTCGATTTGTCTGTTTCGCAATTATTGATGACTAACCCCTTGGCCTATGATTTCTCAACTCTGATCGATGCTACTTTGTCATTAATAATTTCTTAGAAAAAGTTTCTTATATTTCCTTTTAATGCCGCAAAATACACAAAATGGAAAAAATCGAATATTAGATCATTCGATTGACTTGCATTATTATAATTGCATGTCCATCTAGCTGAACGTCAACGCAGCAGGTGGCATTATTTATAATATAGAAATATTTTCGAATAATCATCGTCTAATCGAGCGAACTAAAGTAAGTCGATTTGATTGGGGGTCACCGGTGACCGTCATGGCACTCAACGTGTTAAGTTGAGTAGTTTCTGGTAGCTGAAATTTAGCCGCCGTTCAATGTGTTAAATGACAATGCTACATTTTGTTAGTTCCTCGGTTGATAGCATCGTTGAGTACTTCTTATTCTGTGTTTTCTCGAATGGTATTGAAAAGAAACTGGAGTACCATGTTGTCGGTGTTGTTAAACGCGTTCGTCCGATGCTTCGGCGTAAAAGGCTAGCACCGTCGGGGCTGCGTAAAACGTAACGTCTGCTGATGCTCCTGTGGAGGGGCAGGAATATTCCTGGTGGATTCATAAAAAAAACAGTTCACGAGCCACCCCTGAAAAATAACACGAAACCGGGGCGCAACCGCTCGCCATACGGCCGTGAAAGCGTGCCGCGTTAAAAAATCATAAGGGTGTCGTTCGGCTCGTGGCCCGTCCCCGTTCGTTTTCTCTTTTTCGAAACCTCGTGCTCGAAATTTCACGGACACGCGAAAATCGCGAACACCGTTGCTCACCGAATTGTTCGACCGTTGACATTGGAACTACCAGATGTGTGAAATTGACCGTTCTTCTTTTCCAATTATTAACCCTTTGCACTTCACAAATTTGTCACTAGAAATATTCTATTTATTTTTATGAGATATAAATGACAGTTTTTGAAACTAACTTAACGAGGAATCTATTCGCAAAATAAGGGGAACGAAAATAAATTGATGAAAATAATAATTGATAAAATAAATTTTGATGCACCAGTCGAGTGGTGACTGAGAGGCACCTTTGGAGTGCAAAGGGTTAACCAGTTAACATTAGAACCACCGTACCAGTCAAAATAATTGGTTTCGATTTGTTTGTTTCGCAGTTAATACCTTAAAAGCATGGAATATTGAATATTTGAAATGATTTTGGAAATAAACAGTTTCATTTGAGTACTGTGATGAATATCCAAAGAAACTGGAAATAATCTATTGTTACAATTTTTATAGAGATTACATATCAATCGTATTAAATTCCACAATTAACTGGTTAAAAAGATAACAGATGCTTCAGTGCGGAATTACTGGAG